TACACCTGGACATTGGGTTACAGTAAGTGGGTCAGGTACAGGTACACCTGGACAGTGGGTGACAGTAAGTGGGTCAGGTACAGGTACACCTGGACTGTGGGTTACAGTAAGTGGGTCAGGTACAGTTACACCTGGACAGTGGGTTACAGTAAGCGCGTCAGGTACAGATACCTGTTATAATACCCAGTTATCCAGTAACTGAACAGTTTGGGGCGGGATAGGGAGAAGTGCTTTAACTTCCAGCTGCGGACCCTCTTGTTATCTGCAGTCAAACACCATTTTAACCTTCCTTTAGCTGTTGTTGTAAACTATGATTTTTTTTATCTGTTTAGTCAGAGACCTTTCAGAAGTCAGTCAGCCACCCTGTACCTCTTGCAAACCAGTGGGAGCTCCTGGCAAAAAGTGACTAAACAGCAACATTCGGACCAGTTTGGAATTGTAAGGATCATAGAATTATAGAGTGATATAGCATGGAAACAGACCCTTCGGTCCAACTAGTCCATGCTGAACATAATCCCAAAATAAGACCTGCCTGCTTCTGGACCATATCTCTCCAAATGTTTCCTATTCATGTACTTACCCAAATGTCTTTTAAACGTTGTAATTGTACATACATGTACCACTTCCTCAAGAAGTTCATTGCACACGCAAACCACCCTCTGTGTAAAACATTTGTCCCTCATGTCTTTTTAAAATCTCTCTCTCATCATCTTAAAAATGTGTCCCCTGGTCTTGAAATCCCCCATCCTAGGGAAAAGACAACTACCATTAACCCTATCTATACCCCTTATTATTTTATAATCCTCTATAAGGTTGCCTCTCAACCTCCTACACTCCAGTGAAAGTAGGCCCATCCTATCCAGCCTTTCTCTAACTCAAAGCTTCTATACCTGGCAACATCCTGGTAAATCTCTTCTGAGCCCTCTCCAGTTTAATAATATCCTTCCTATTACTGGCAACCAGAACTGGACACAGTATTCCAGAAGAGGCCTCACCAATGTCCTGTACAACCTCAATATGACTTTCCAACTCCTATACTCAAAGGACTGAGCAATGAAAGTAGACGTGCTAAGCACCTTCTTAACCACCCTGTCTTTATGTGAATTAAACTTCAAAGAATTATGTACCAGCCCCCCTAGGTCCCTATGTTCTATAACACTACCCAAAGTCCTATTATTAAATGTATCAGTCCTATCCTTGTTTGTTGCACCAAAATGCAATACCTCTCATTTATCCAGATAGAACATTTTTCAGCCCGTTGACCCATTTGATCAAGATCCCTATGGAATCTTATAAAAGCTTCTGCACCATTTATTCTCACCAACCCATGAATAGAAACCATAAGTTTATAAGACATGGGGCAGAATTAGGCCATTCAGCCAATTGAAGTCTGCTCTGCCATTCGATCATGGCTGATATGCTCCTCTCCCTCATTTTCCTGCCTTCTCCCCATAACCCTTCAACTCATTACCAATGAAATATCTGTCTGATTCCTCCTTAAAGTTACTCACTGTCCCAGCATCCACCACACTTTAGGTAAGTGAATTCCACAGATACACCCTATGGGAGAAGTAGTTTCTCCTCAATTCTGTTTTACATTTGCTACCCCGTATCCTAAGACTATGACCCTTGTCCTAGAATGCCCCACTAGAGGAAGCATCCGCTCCATGTCTGTTTTATTTATACCTTTAATCATCTTGAATACCTCAATTTGATCTCCCCTCATTCTTCTAAATTCCAGACAGTATGGGCCTAAACTGTTCAATCTCTCTTCAAATAAAAAACCCCTCATCTCTGGGATCAATCTAGTGAACCTCCTATGAACTGCCTCCAATTCCACCACATCTTTCCTGAAGTAAGGGGACCAAAACTGTGCACAGTATTCCAGGTGCAGTATCATCAATGCCTTGTACAGTTGCAACAATACTTCCTTACTTTATATGCTATTCCTTTAGCTATAAAAGCCAACATTCCATTCGCTTTCTTTATTACCTGCTGTACCTGCTTGCTTGTTTTCTGCGACTCATGAACGAGGACACCCAGATCCCTCTGCACTGGAGCAGCCTGAAGTCTCTCCCCATTTAGATTATAGGTCGCCTTCCCATTTTTCCGACCAAAATGCATGACCTCACACTTATTCATGTTAAACTCTATCTGCCACATTTTGGCCCACTCTCCTAACCTATCTATATCCATTTGTAAGGTTGTTATTTTCTCATTGCAATTAGCATCCCACCTATTTTTGTGTTGTCTGCAAATTTTGCTATAGAGCCTTCTATCCTTGTACTCAAGTCATTAATGTAGATTGTAAATAGCTGGGGTCCAAGGACCGAACCCCATGGCACCCCACTAGTTAATTCTTGCCATCCAGAAAATAAACCATTTGTCCCGACTCCTTGTTTTCTGTCCATCAGCCAGTCACCTATCCAAGCTAATAGATTACCCCTAATCCCATACGATCCAACCTTGTGAATTAACCTTTTGTGTGGCACCTTATCAAATACCTTCCGGAAGTCCAGATATATTTCATCTACAGGATCCCTATTGTCCACTTTGCTTGTTACATCTTCAAAGAACTCTAGTAAATTAGTCAAACATGATTTGCCCTTCAGAAGACCATGCTGACTCTGATGGATAGCGTTTTAATTTTCCAAATGTCCTGATATTGCTTCCTTGATAATTGATTCTAACACTTTGCCAACAACAGATGTTAAACTAACTGGTCTGTAATTTCCCACATACTGCCTCCCTCCCTTTTTGAACAAGGGCATTACATTAGCATTTTTCCAATTCACTGGAACTTTTCCCGTGTACAGGGAATTTTGGAATATTGTAAACAATGGATCCACTATCTCCACTGTCACTTCCTTTAATAGCGTAGGATGTAGGCAATCAGACCTGGGACTTGTCTGCTCTCAATCTTAATAGTTTGTTGAGTACGTTTTCCCTATCGATGTTGATTGTTCTAAGTTCTACCCTTTCTATTGCCTCTGACTTGCTGTACAAATAGGAATGGTACTATTGTCCTCCGCCATGAAAACTGAGGCAAAGTATTGATTATGCATCTCTACCATTTCATTGTTCCCCACCATTAACTCTCCAGTTTCATCTTCCAAGGGACCAACATTCACCTGAGCAACTCTCTTCCCTTTTAAATACCTATAGAAGCTTTTGCTGTCCGTTTTGATATTTTGTGCTAGTTTTCTTTCGAAATTTACCACTCTTTTTATGAATGTTTTAGTATCCCTTTGTTTATGTTTGAAAGTTTCCCATTCCCACTGGCCTTTGCAATATGGTATACTTTAGTTTTTGACTTTATATTGTCCTTGACCACAGAACTATCTTCCCAGTTTCCCTCTGTCCACAAACTAGTTTTCCCTGCCTGTTTGTCTGCCTGTGTGTGTATATAAGGGAAAGTTTGTAAGGGAATTAGAGTTTTAATTTGTAGTGATATGTGCCGATGGTTTATAACTGTTTGTCTGAAGTTAGAGTCTAATTATATGTAATAAAAAGTATTTTTATTCCATGCTTTCTACAAACCTGGGTCTGAAAATCAGGTAAATTGGGACATTTAATATCGTTATATTAAAATCTTTAATGTTTATAACAACTCTGGGACAGCAGGATTTGATTTCCAGCACATTACCCCAGGGAGGTGTGAAAATTGCAATTGTGACTTATGATTTCAACATTACCATGACCTTCTGCTTTAAGTCTTGCACTATAAAACCTGGAATTAGCCTTTTTCTTAAAAAAAGAAAGACTGTGATTTTTTTTTTCCTTTGGGGCAGGAATTTGCAAGCAACCATTAATTTCTAAACTCTCCTTACTCCCAGCTTATGAAATGCATTCAATGGGAGTTGTTTAAACAGCAATTAAAGAATAGATTTATTTGTCTCAATTAGCAAAACTGTGTCATCGTGGAAGATACCAGACAGTTTGGGAGAAAATAAAGGTGTACAAGTCACAGTCAGGAGGACTGAGCTGATATGATATGATAGAAAGCAGCTGAGCAACACTCAGAAGATTTGTTCAGAACGTCGATTAGCACCAATTTTTGGTTAACGTTGTCTATTAGGTTTTGAGATCTGAAATAATCCAGTTGAAAGAACAAACAGCTTACCACTGATCCTTGAACAGGGGAGCCATCAGGCACTTTAACCTAGTGACAGGAGAAGAAAAAGCACATTAGATCCTGTGTTGCCCATGTTGAAAACGGGGAACCGAACTGTACTTGTAGCATTCTGATTGAACAATCACGATAAAGTGAAACCGTGTAAAGCAGAACAATAAACAGGGGACAGACAAATTGAGTTAATGCTTCAGGGAGGGAACCAGCAGCCAGGAATGTTTCAGGGTCCCAAAGCCTCTCATGGGGGTAACAGTAACATCCACCAATTTGGGATTTTGACCAATTATCCAATTTGTTGTAATTGGTCTTAGAAGTTGCTACTTACAGCAACTTGACTTTGTGGCCTTTAAAGGACAGATAAGGTAAAGCTGCAGCAGAAAAACACATTGTCTATTACCTTTTAAAATCCTCCTTCATCCTCATCCAACTGAGTGAGAAGACTTGAAGTCCACTAAACGTTTTTAAAAGTCACACCATGCTTAGACTATCTGATGTTTAGAGTGGCACAATACAACTCTGACTGGCACAGTTTTAGCCCCTGGTTTGTATCAGTTTTAGTGATGCTAAGCACAATTGGCCACAACATACTTGGACTAGAAAAGATGAAATCAAAAAGGATTCCTGTTGTACATTTTATATCTCAGCTGTATGCAGAGATGACATTAGTTTCTCTGCGCACAGTAGGTTTTATTTACAAGGTTTTAAAATGTCTACTCCATGGTTCAGATCTGGCTTCTAGCCCTTTCTAGAGTGTTGTTTACCTTTACTCTGATTCCACTCCCAGCCTTAACTAATCAAACACAGTGAGCAGCAACAGAAAACAGACACAGAACAACTGACCACTGTAATCCCCGTTTCTGGGTGCTAACCTTGATGTGCACTTTGCAGAATTAAAATAAGAACATGATCAGGTTCATTTGTGATGCTCCCTGCCCACTTCAAACACAACACTCACTACACACACACGTCAAATGATTGTTCCAACTCCATCCTGATGCTCCCGGGATACTGTAAAAAAAAATGGCAACTTGATGCTCCTTCCCAGACAGAGGTGTGAAGGGTGAACATTTCAGAAAGATTAATTCCTTCTTCAAAAATAAAATTTCCCATTGAATTCAGAGAAACACTGAGCAGTGGTGTTACCGTAACCCTCTGGGGACTGATGCTGTTTGAAAATGTGCTCATCGCCTGGCAACATTTCTTGTGTCCTTCGAGTTACAAAGATGTTATCAGATCACCGAAAAGCCAAGGCAACACTGAAATTTTATCATGACAACATCTATCCTGAGCTCTCCCTGACCTCTTCTTTCATAAAATATAAATGATCCATCTCTGAATACATCTGATTGAGCAAGTGTATTAATGTAATCACCAGAGAAAATCTGTCCAGTAACCAATTGGGATCACAGGGGAGGAGCTATCAACACATTTGATATGAAATGCACTCAATTGAGGCGTTCAAACAGCAATTAAAGAATCACTTTGTTTGTTTCGATTAGCAAAACTCTGTCATAGGGCAAGATATCAGACAGTTTGGGAAAAAATAAAGGTGGACAAGCAGTGGTCGGGAGGATTGTGGGATACCAGCTAAGCAACGCTCAGAAAATTTGTTCACATTTGATGATTAGCACCGATTTTTAGTTAAAAGTTTTAAAATCTGAAATAACCCAGTTGAAAGAACCAATTGCTTACCACAGATTTTTGAACAGGAGAGTCATCAGGCACTTTAACCTAGTGACAGGAAAAGAAGACACACATTAGATCCTGTGTTGCCCGTACTGAAAACGGGGAACCAGACTGTTCTTGTTTGACAACTTCCCGGCATTCAGATTAATCAATCAAATTAGAGTGAAACCGTGTAAAGCAAAACAATAAAGGGGGAGAAACAAGTTGAGTTAATGCTTTGGGGGTGGGAACCAGGAGCTGGGACTATTTCTAGGTCCCAAAACCATTCCCAGAGGGAACAGTAAATCTTTGGGAGTTTGACCCTTCAATTGTCCAATTAATGTTGGTGGCTAAGATTTTGAAGCTGGAAAACCAATCAGATCTTCCAGATAAGCAACATTCAGCAGTAAAGGGTAAATCATGAAGTGATGAAACATGAAGGGGCCAACTCACTAACATTTTGAGTCAAACAAATAATTAGGTTACCGCTGTGGGGATGAGGGGAGGGGTGTGGTGTGTGGGTGGGTGGGGGTGATAAAAGGGTCCCTCTGGAGGGCAGCTTTTGACTGTGCCATTACCAGGCAGGCAGAGGGGCAGGGACCCTTGGACCTGCCCTGAGTGTTGCCCTAGGGTCTCCCAAATCTGGTACACCTGCCTCCACTCGGCTGAGAAACTGGAGGCCGATTGGAAAACTCCAGTAAGCCTCCTCTAACTGGTCTTATTGAAGCTCCTAATGAGCGTAGGTGGCTGACCTCCCTCACAGGCCTCAGGCTGTTCTGTCACAGTGAACCGCTGCCTCAGCGAAGGTAGCCAATGTCAAGAATGTAACCATGGGATTGGCATGTTGTCCCTGTTTGCCTCTGTTCCTGAATGTACAAACATTCCGCCCATCATTATTAATGTTAATTGCCATGACAACTCCTCCAGCTTTGGTCAGAGTGTTATAAACCACAGACCCGCACAAAAAAAGAGGATGCAATGGCCTAGTGGTATTATCGCTGGACTGTTAACCCATGGACCTAGATAATGTTCAAATGCTGCCTTGGCAGATGGTGGAATTTGAATTCAATTAAAAATCTGGAATTGGAAGTCTAACGATGACCATGAATCTGTTTTCAACTGTCAGAATAAACCATCAGGTTCATTAATGTCCTTTAGGGAAGGAAACTGCCACCCTTACCTGGTCTGACCTACATGTGACTCCAGACACACAGGAAATGTTGTTGACTCTTAACTGCCCTCTGGGTAATTACGGATGGGCAATAAATGTTGGCCTAGACACTGGCACCCACATCCCGTGAATGAATAAGCAAAAAAACAATACAATAAAACTAGGGCCCAGGAAAGAAGGACTGTCCTGGGCCAAAAGATACTTCTTGTTGCTATTGGTGCCAGAAAACAAAATCTAACAACTGATGGGCCGAGTAAAAGACACATTTAATGTTATAAATATTTCTGCATTTCTGAAGAAGGGTCCCAACCTGAAACGTCAGTTTTCCTGCACCCCTGATGCTGTCTGGCCTGCTGTGTTCATCCAGCTCTACACTGTGTTAACTCAGACTCCAGCATCGGCAATTCTTACTGTCTCTGACACACTTAGTGTTAGCTATTTGTCTCACACTCCTCAGGCTAATTCATAAGAAGAACATATCTAGGTAACAGCCTCCCAGAGCCCCAAGGCCCCACCAACCTCACCATTGAGACATATTCAATATACCACTGAGTGTTCAGGCCAAGATAGTCCAGATTGAACATGAAATTTATCTGATCCTGATACCCATTCATTTGCGTAATGTATGAGGTAGTTTTAAAGAAAAGGCAGATTTTTTTTGTGACTAATCAGCTTTTTAAAATATTCCGCAAGTTAGTTTGACCAGGATTCACACTGTAAAGAAAGAGAGAGAGAGAAGAAGAAAAAGAGAACAAATGGGAAAGAGGGAGGAAGAAAGAAATGGGGACAGAGAGAGAGAAAAAGAAAAGGAGAGAAAGTGGGAAAGAGAGAGATAGAGAAATAGGAAGAAAGAGAGAAAAAGAGCAAGATAGAAAGAGAGAGAAAGTAAGAGGAAGAAACAGAAAGAGAGAGAGAGAAAGTGAGAGAAACAAAGAGAGACTTTCACACACAGTTGAATGCTATCACCTGACTTTTAAATTGCCACACATATGGTAAAGAAGTAAACAGCAGTGGCAATATCAGGTTTTACTTGAGGAAAACAGTCCATATGACTCACTCGCAGACTAAAGTCATCATGATCCTGCTGTCACATTAATAGAAAGAAGGCAGTACTATGCAGAGCTGGAGCACTGTGTACTTACTGATACAGCAGGATCATCAGAAGCAATGCCAGGGAAGAAGTCTTCAAGCTGTCAGAAGGATCAGAAGTACGTAAGAGATCATGTCTAAAAATGGTAACAAGCTTTAGCAGCAATGTTTACATTAAGGGTGCTACATTAATGCTGCAATTGTTTTTACCAAGCAATTCAACAAAAGATCAATTTTAATCTACTTGAACTATAACATAACCAAATGTGCAGTCTCATTAAATTATTCAGTAAACAAAATAATGCCTGTTTTTATAACAATTATCTATTTTGTTCTTGTGAAGTGAGTAGCTGCTGTTGCACAGATTGGCTGACTCTCCTCTCTAGAGGACGCAAGTCCTGTTTCTACATTTATGAGCCCAAATAGCGTGAGTGAGCTATTTGGCAATGAGAGGCAGAACACTCAAACCGAACACAGCCTTCATTCAAGCCTCGTGTGCAAGGTCTTGGAAGCTGAATCAGAGCCGGATTCCCTTTCCTGTTTCATGGTCTCTCATGATATCTCCTCAATGATGACCTGGTGGAAAGCAGGTAACTCAGTGTCAATCAAAGTTTGTATCTGAGAGCTTCCTGATCTACTGCCTTATTCCAATTAAAATTGAATAATGCACTGACACACTGAGTCAGACCAAAAGAAAGGAGCACACCATCTGCTGTCTCCCTCAAAGAGGATTTGCTGCATAAATCACACAACTTAAACCTGAAGAGCCTCTTACTTTTAATAAAACATATCCATGTTTTATTAAATACATAGTAGTACTGTTATTGAATTAGTAATCCAGACCCCTGGGCTAATGGTCTGGAGACATGAGATCAGATTCCACTGCTGCATCTGGGGGAATGTAAATTTAATTAATAAGTAAGTCTTGAATAATATATTGGTCTCATTAATGATTATTTACAAAATTACAGGATTGTTGGAAAAACCCATCTGATTCACTAGTAACCACCATGGGAGGAAATCTCCCATCTGTACCTGATGTGACCTACAAGTCACTCCAGATCCACAGTAATGTGGCTGACTCTTAACTGCCCTGTCAATTGGCCCTAGCAATCTGCTGAGCTCTATCAAACTACAGCAGTCACACAATGCCAGGTTATAGACCAACAGGTTTATTTGAAATCACAAGCTTTCGCAGCACTGCTCCTTTGTCAGGTGAATCTGACGAAGGAGCACTGCTCTGAAAGCTTGTGATTTCAAATAAACCTGTTGGACTATAACCTGGTGTTGTGTGACATCTGACTTTGTCCATCCCAGTCCAACACCGGCACCTCTACATCCTATCAAACTACTACAGAAGAAAACGCTGTAAGAGGTACAAGAAAGTGGCTCTCTACCGCCCTCTCCTGGCGCAATTAAGGATGGGTTATAAATGCTGGGGCAGCCAGCGATGGCATCCTGTGAACAAACAAACCAGAAAATAAAACAAAATTGATGGCTCCTCTTCTTTTATCCCCCCACCGGAAGCAGCTGCATTAGGCTGAAAATAACACAAGCTTGTGAGCTTCTATTTTAGAGTAAAGTCGAACAAGTCATGACATGGTATCTTGTTCAGTCTGACAAGATATGCTCCTCAGAGGGTCACGCTTTGTGGGTTTTTTTTAATAGAAACTGCAGTTCTCAGCACTGACTCACATCACTCAGATGGGAAGCACTTATATCAGCACTAACTATCTGCTTCTTATTAAGGAAGCAGATCCCAAACCTTCCTGCAGTCCCCTTGATGAAAATTCCTCTTTTAATCGCCCGAGGTTTTCAAAAAGAAACCTATTTATTGTTAAATGACAAATCTGATACAAAGTAGGCAGAAGTGGGAGTAATGATTGCAGAAGTATTTCAATGCTGCCTGGTTAGGCTGGGAATGATTCCCTATGTTGTGGAGACTCTGCAGTGTGCTCGGCATCACAGTGATTACACGACTGCACATTCCCAGCAGGGAGTAGGAGATTAGTGAGTTAATTCTGCAATGCCCTAACCTTTCGCTAACCTCCACTCCCTCCCTGTTTGTCTGCCTTCTTGTGATTGGAAGCAATTTCTCCCTGACGCGCTCGAAGAAAAAAAGCTTCACGGCGCTGGATTTGAGCAAACCCTCAGCCACTTGGCACGTTTGAAAGTGAGAGATGGGTAAAATCCAGTGGGTGACGTTCTGTCAGCCCTCAACTTTCTGAAATTTTATGAGGGACTGGGGACTCCATACCTAGAAGGAAAAAAGTAACGATAAAACTTGGAAATGAATGCACAGGTCATACTGAACCTCCATTTTGAAGTACACATCATGAGTCAGACCTGTTAAGACTTATTTGCCCATTTTACTGGTTTTTCCATCTGGGTGAGGCCAACAGTGACCCTTCATTCCTATTTAAAGTTCTTATTTTGTCTCCACCAGTACTTTTCCCCATGAAGGCACAAGGGCCCTTGCATGGGGAGTCCATGCAGAAAGCCTGGCAGTGATTGGCTGCGTGGACAGATGTTCAGCAAGTGGGGGAGGCACTCCCTACCCACCCCCTGCCAAAAGGTCTTTCACTTGGTTAATTTTTGCTCTTAAGGCGCAGCGCGGTGGCTCAGTGGTTAGCACTGCTGCCTTACTGTGCCAGGGACACAGGTTCAGTTCTAGCCTTGGGTGACCGTCTATATGCAGTTTGCATGTTCTCCTCTGAAATAACTCCACGGAGGCTGGTTTCCTGTCACCCTTTATTTACACGTGCATAGTATATGAGACTGGTCCAGCTCTCTCAGAGTCAGCAGAACCTCTGACACTCCTGTTGTTATCTGTCAGCCAGGGCCCTCTGATTGGACCAGATTAACAACCCCAATCGGGGAACTCATATTCTATGAGGTCCACCTGGCTGACCTCGTTACAATCACTACATCTCCATGTCCAAGGTGTGTCTACCAGGTTCTCCGGTTTCCTCCCACAGTCCAAAGATGGGCAACCATGGGAAATGGGGTGTTACGGAGACAGGGTGGGGAGCTGGATGTGGTGGGATGGTCTTTGGAGGGTCAGTGTAGACCCAATGGGCCGAATGACCTCTTTCCGCACTATCGGGCTTCCATTGATTCTAAAGTCATGTGCCACCTTTAACCTTCCACCTGCCTGGCCTGGTGTACCTGGCCCCCAGACACCACCGTCCCCACACAATCCTGAGACTCCCGACACCAGACTTAATCTCTGCTAGTGCCAGTGCCACTACTCCTTTTGGGGGGGACAGGGTGGGGGGGTGGGAGGGGTTGGCTAGAGTGACAACAAACCTGTCAGCTGTCCAATTGCCTGCCAGCTCTCGAAAACGGAACTTTCAGATGAGATAGGGGTGGAAATCCTGCCATAAACCAGCAACGCTTCTCCCATCGCTGATCTGCTGTAGGCTAGCCACCTGATCTATGGATGGACTGTGCACCTCTGCCCTCAGTATCCTGGCCAGCAATGCATGGGGGAGTAAGGCCAAATATCCAGCACCATGATTTGGACCTCCTTTATTCCTTCACCTTCTAATTTAAATAAAGTCTATTACTACAGCTCCTATTCCATAGCCTCAAGGAATCTCTACATTTCCCATGGCTGATCCACTTAGCCCTGCACACTATGGGTAATTTAGTACAGCCATTCCACCCAACCTACACATCTTTGGACTGTGGGAGGAAACCCACACAGGCAGCTAATGTTGGAATTGAACCCAAGTTCCTGGCATTGTAAGGCAGCAACGCTAATCACTGTGCCATCATGGACCCCAATCAACAACAGTCACTAGCTAGAGATCCCAATACTGATGTTAGCACCCAGAGGATGTAAAGGGTGCTATATAAATACAATGCTCCCTTTAAAGATCTTGGGAACAAATATACTCACACAGAGTTTGCTCCAACCATTAAGCAGTCGAATGAAAACTTTATTTTGTTCTGTCACATAGACCAGGGAGCCTTCGGGAACCATCGGAGTTGCCTTCAGCATGAGGTCAACATTCTTGAAGACCTGGCTCTGTTATGTATAAAGTACATTTAACGTTATGCAGTAGCAATACAGGCAAAGCAATTAACATCAGAGAAACATTACGCATGAGATTCAAAGCAATTCCATGTGAAAGAGGGGAGCTGGGTTTCTATTTAAGAGTGAGTTGTAACAAAATGGGTCACTTCTTTTCCTAATACTATTGTGTCAATCTTTTCTTCTCCCTTAGAAACATTGCAGTGCAGATAGAGGCCATTTGGCCCATGAGTATGTACTAACTCACCAAACAGCATTCCAGCCAGACCCACTCCACCCTCTCCCTGTAACCCCACATTCCCACCTAGCCTGCACGTCCTTGGATACTGTGGGACAATTTAGCATGGCCAATCCACATAACCTCCACATCTTTGGACTGTGCGAAGAAACTGGAGCACCCTTCAGAAACCCATGCTGACACGGGGAGAATGTCCACACTCCACATTGACTTTTTGCTGGATACTGTTCAATGATTGACAGTCACCCATCCTGACCCTGTTAATGGTCATTATTCAAGCCTAGTCTTGATGCTGAGTATAAACCAACATGAAGGGGACCACAGCTGGGCCCAGTCCTGTTGTCAATAATGGCCCAGCCCATCCGCTAATTTCCATTCCCAACCCCACCCAATATCTGCAATCTGACAGAGTTTACTGAACAGCAACCAGAGCCAAAGCCTTAGTTTGTGATCCCAGCAGGTTGCAGAAATCAAATATTTCACAGCCGGACAGTAATTTTGATTAGATTGGCAAAATTCACACAAAATTTGAACCGTATCTGGGAGAAAGCGGTTCATTGAGCTGGTACTGAATGGATTATGTTATTTCAGAACGATGGCCTGGAAAGGGTTAACTGAGATAGTAAAATAGTTCCAGCCACCAGGATATAAGTGATTGCCTGTGGGAGGAGCTAACCAGTCTGTACATCTTACCTCTGCAGTTAATAACCAGGTAACTGAGGGAGATCAGTTGACTGGACGGCTGGTTTGCCACACTGTGTGATGCGAACAGCATAGGTTCAATTCTCACACCAGCTAGTGCGTACCAGGATGGTCCTACTTTCTCAACCTCACCCCTCTCTTGAGGCGTGATGACCTTTGGGTTAAACCACCACCCTTCATTTCTCTCTAATAATAGAGCAGCCCTATGGTGACTTTACCTTTAACTTAGACAAGCCTCTTATTCAAGCTTCTAAATTCTGGAGAGAAAACAGGCCTAATTTATATAATCTCTCCTCCTAACTTAACATGTGTCCTGTCAGCATTATGTAGTTAACCATTAGATATTAATGTAACCTGTCATAGGAGTTAGTCATAGGAACATAGGAACAGGAGTAGGTCATTCAGCCCTTTGACATTATTCTATCATTCACTGAAACCATGGCTGATCTATGGCCTAACTCCATACAACTGTTTTACCCCTTCTGTCTTATCCTCCATATCTCTTAACAACAAAAAAAATCTAAGATTTAAAATTAACAGCTAACCTAGCATCAATTGCCATTTGTGGAAGTGAGTTCCAAACCTCTACCACCTTTTGAGTGTAGAAGTGCTTCCTAACATCTCTCCCGAACGGTCTACCCTAATTCTCAGACTATACCCCTAGTTCTAGAATCCCCAACCAGTGGAAGTAGCTTATCTTTAGCTACCCTGTCTTTCCCTGTTAATGTCTTGAAGACTTTGATGGAATCACCCCTGATTCAACCTTCTAAATTCTAGAGAGAAAACAGGCTTAATTTATATAATCTCTCCTCCTAATTTAACATGTGTTCTATCAGTGTAACGTGGTTAACCATTAGATATTAAAGTAACATGTTATCACTTTACTATGTAATAAACCACTTCTTGATACCTAAGGTGTAAGCCTCTTTAGCTGAACTCTTAATCCTTCACCATGCAATACCAATAAGACTAGCAGACCGGTCCTGGTCTCCCTGCTATAGGAAGGATGTTGTGAAACTTGAAAGGGTTCGGAAAAGATTTACAAGGATGTTGCCAGGGTTGGAGTGCTTGAGCTAGAGGGAGAGGCTGGGGCTATTTTCCCTGCAGCATTGGAGGCTGAGGGGTGACCTTATGGAGGTTTATAAAATCATGAGGGGCACGGATAGGGTAAATAGACAAGGTCTTTTCTCCAGGGTGGGGAGTCCAAAACTAGAGGGCATAGGTTTAAGGTGAAACGAGAAAGATTTAAAAGAGCCCTAAGGAGCAACTTTTTCATGCAGAGGATGGTGCGTGTATGGAATGAGCTGCCGGAAGTGGTGGAGGCTGGTACAATTACAACATTTAAAAGGCATCTGGATGGGTACATGAATAGGAAGGGTTTAGAGAGATATGGGCCAAATGCTGGAAAATGGGACTAGATTTATTTAGTATATGGTCAGCGTGGATGATTGGACCAAAGGATCTGTTTCTGTGCTGTACATCTGTATGACTCAAAGGATTGGAGGCAGCATTTCTACCCAGTATTGTCATCTGTCTTTAAGATGAACACAAGGTGAGCAAAATTCCCCCTTACATCAAGGTCTCAGTTTCAGGCATCTCTTACAATAGATAATCTCCCAGGGACATAGGAGAGTTGATGCCCAAAATGAGTAGTTTGTGAGAGAATAAATGTTGTTAATCTTCAGTCATATTTCCACAATGCTCTGCAGGACAACTGGAGAGCACTAAGAGGAAATTTGTGGAAAGTGCACAGTCAGGTGTGGGATTGACTATCCTGAAAGAGCAAGGGATTATGAGAATGATAGAGACCTGTGAAAGCAGTCAATGGGCCCTTGGAAAATACTTGATTTCTGATGTGGTCAGCACACTTGGTAAATGGAGTCGGGCCTAGGATTGAAGAAGGCCAGTCCTGGCAACTGAATCTCACACAAAGGATGCACTGTAAATGCTGACGTTAGTTGGGATTCCACATCTACATAATATATTTTTAAACAAAAATAGTTTTTCACTATCATTATTGCCATTTGGATATTAACAATTGCTTGGTGGTACAGAACTCGAATATTGCTAAAAAGAGGGACGTGTTGCCAAAGCTTCTCTTTTGCAGTCATCAGGTCAAATGCAACAATGTGAAGTTTCAAACAATCAATACAATTTATACTTCTGGGGAAAAGGGTACTGATTGTTGGCGAGCTGACTCTAACTGGCCAAAGCCTAGAGGAAACAATGGAAAATTACCCAAGAGATTAGGGAATCTATAATTCCACATTGTCCTCTCTGTGGCAATCTTGCAACAAATCAGTGTTGATTTGATGACCAATCAGCACCCTGTTCTCCGTTGGTATAAATTGCTGTGATTGTTTGAAATTTGGTAAGCGTGTAAGATGAAAGTCTGTGACAACATGTCTCTTTTCAGCAATATTATGTTAATAACTTGCAGAGTTCTGATTTTCTGATGTAATATTAGACTCAGGTTTGCCAGCTGAAGCGTTGCTCTAAGCCACCTGACTCAGTCTTTTCTGTGTGGGAGTCTTCTGACAAATATCATCCTGCTCCCAGGAACCTACACCCTCCCTTCCAGGAACCTCTATCCACAGACAACAGAGTTATCACTGCAAATGTATAATGCAAAAGAAATATATATGCAGAAAAATTCAAAGATGTAACAATCCCCGGGTTCAACTTTGTCACAATTTATCATCTGACGTAAAAACAAAACATTGCGGATGCTGGAAAACTGTAATGAAAACAGAAAATGCTGCAAACACTCAGCAGGTCAGGCAGTATCTATGGATAGAGAACCAGAGGTAACTTTTCAAGTTGATGCTTTTATGCAAATGAATCCTTTCCCCTGTATCTCTCTGTCATAGAGTCACAGAGTCATAGACTCATACAACACAGAAATCTTCGGTTCAACTTGTCCATGCTGACCAAGTTTTCCAAACTAAACTAGTCCCATTTGCCCGCATTTGGCACATATCCCTCTAAACATTTCCTATTCATGTACCTGTTCAAATGTCTCTAAAATGTTGTAGCTGTACCTGCATCCACCACTTCCTCTGGCAGTTCATCGCTCCACAGATTAAGCCTGACCAGTTCAACATTTCCAGTATTCTTCGCCCTAAGATGATACTATACTAGTCTCATGCCTCAGATGTAACAGGGGCTACAAGTGTCACCAAATATTAAGCCAGAATTGGGAATGATGGTGCCAAAGGGAATTAAGAAACATTTTTGATAAGATGTATGGGAATTGGAATTGTACAAAAATGATAAGCTTAATCAATAGGCTCTGCCATGTTACACCAGTGATTCATTCAGCTTTATGCTACATCACTTTGTCAATGAGTCAATCAAGTTGGAAACTCTCAGTTTGTTATAATCAGTCATCGCTTGGTGGTACAGAAATTGTGCATTGCTGAATAAAGAGGGTCAGTTAGCTCAGTTGGCTGGATGGTGATGCAGGGTAATGCCAACGGAGTGGTTTCAATTTCCACACTACCTGAGGTTACCATAAAGGACTCTCCTTCTCAACCTCTCCCCTCACCTCAGGTGTGGTGACCCTCTGGTTAAAACATGACCACTTGTCTCTCACTAATGAGAGAACCAACCCTATGTAGGACTCGGACGACTTTACCTGTATTGCTGAAAAATGACACATTTTGTTGAAGCCTTTCTCCTTGCGCTCATCAGGACAATTTACAAGAATACCACCATAAAAGGGCAACCAACATTCTTGTACAATAGGAGAAGAGCAAGCCAATTGGTAAAAACAATTACATCCAATTAAGAAAATAAAAAGGAAACACAGTGAGAGCTTGGACTTTATGTTTAACAAATATTATATCTCCATCTCATTTTTGGGATGAGGGACTGCACATCCAATACATTGTGACCACATTCTCTCTATTCAGATGCTGACTGATTTTGTTGTCCACTTTGAATATTTTCTGTTCTTATCAAACGAAGCTTCTTTGCATAAAGCTTTCCCCATTTTCACCGATTTATTACTCCTGGTAGATATACCCTTGACGGTGCAGAGCAGGATGGTCAGCAGTTGGTGGGCCCGAGCTGAGCAGGGCAGCCTGTGGTCAGAGGGCAGCCAGGGGTCAGAGGGCAGCCAGGGGTCAAGGAGCAGCCTGCAGTCAGAGGGCA